GCAAGTGTTGTGTGAACGACACAACTTTGTGTATCAAACTAGAAGTCCTTCATATGTCTCAAACCTGTGAGGTGGCTCTCTAGCGTTTAATTTGGTGACTTATGTAATGACATCTTCTGTAAAGAAAACAGCTTTGAAAACTTTACAATGGAGCCTGCTGAGCTTCCACACTCACTGCAGAACGTGGAGGTGTCTGCCATCAAGTCTTAGGCTTATATTCCTTTATCCACTGGTGCTCCTTTAGCTCCTTCTCCAGTCTGAGTATCCTGGGCCGTATCAGAAACACCCTGCTTCACATTCTCAGCTCTACACTTTCTCACCAACCGTCCTCCGCCACCGGCCATCCTCCACTCACTTCCACTTTGCTATTTTTCCTAAATCATTCTGAATAAGTAATATAAAAGCAACCCTTTTGGCATCATGCGGGGCTCATTTTCCTCTCAGATGCAAGATGTTTATGAGACTTACATGTCACCACCTCATCACCGGTTACTCCCTCCCTCAAAGCGTAGAACCTACAGAAGCAAAGCCTCATTCAGGCCCCTGTACACAACTAGCTTAAACGTTTTACTTGGGTTGAAGCAGCCTGGATCTACGTAGTATCTGCATTTAAAATGACTAAATATTTTTGCATAATCTCAGAACAAACCAAAAACAATGAGTTATTTTCCAACTATCAATATTTAAACTTAAGCTCTTAATAATCCTTCAAACATCTGCTTTATAGCTTGAACCAAAATGGCCGACTCGTTACCTATGAAGCCAATGCAAACTGTACAATCAAGAGTTAAAAAAGTGACCAGAAACATAAAAGTTTGTATCCAAGCAGAGGGTGAGGTCAGAGGTCAAGGGTATCAATGACTGTAACCAGGCTCCATCGTCCCGCCTGCTTCCGTTCTCAAGCATCAGCGTGTTTGAAGTGGGCAGGAAGGCACGTTGTCACGGTAACCAGATAGTAAAGTGAACAGGACTATAGAAATCAGCCATGATCAAAGAGACAGAGTCATTACTCTGATTGAGAGGAGAAATTGATGCCGTTGGCTCAGAAAACACCTGCCAGAAGCTTTAGAGATAGGTTTTTGCACAGATGTCCACTCATGTTTTTAACTTTTGAGTCTTAAGGAGTTTATTGGCTGACTTATTCGAGAACAGAACTGTTTTAAGCTCACTGTGGCAGCTTTTGTTCTTCCAGACCAACAGATCCTCTCGACACATCCTAAAAATGCACAAACACAATATCATGTGTCAGTTGTTCTGACGTTTTAATTCCTTTTCATGAGACGCTATAAAAGTTTCCCAATCACTACTCCTGCCTCCGTCTCCATTTCCTCCATCCACCACAGATCAATACTACCTGTAAAACTCCTAACCATTCCACAAAATCACACAATAACACACACACACACCACAAATCCCGGCACAGATACATACAGGAAACCAGGGCACCAAACACTCCAACACACCCAGAGAAACTCTAACTGCCGTAGAGAATGTTAGTATGAGATGGAATGTTTCTAAAGGGTGCCAGAAAGAGTCATATCCAGATCTAAGGTCATAAAATATCAATACATTGATTACTATGGAAATAATAAAGACCACAAAAATCCAAAGAAATGTTAAAGTTACTGCGAGTGGCTCATTAACATTAGCATGGTAACCACACACCTGGGTCCCTCTCTCCCAAACAGCAAACATAAGAGACGGACAAAAACCCAACAGAACTTCACCATGAAATGTCTCGATTATGAGCTGGTTTTTAAATCAAATAAAGTTCAAACAAGCAAAAATAATTCCTACAATAAGACACACACTAGGTGAAAGGGGGTTGTATACATTTTGAAGTTCAAGCATTGTGGCCTACTTAAAGAGACAAACCGTAGTTTTTACCTTTAGTCTCTGGAAATATCCATCAAAACGTCAAAAATGAATAAAATGATGTCCAGTTGTTAAAAAATATTGGCGACTTCTTACCATATAACCATAGAAATCAGGTCTAAATTACATAAGGTGCGGGTCTAGCCTCTTTGGGGACGCCATGTTTCCTGCTGGCCAGCTTGGGGCCCTGTGCCTGTCGATGACGTCACACCAGATCACTGGCTGAACGTACAACTTTTGGAAGTAACGTTACCTCGTTCAAAAACATTTAGGCAGTAGGAAACAAATTTGATAACAAAACTGCTAAACTTTCTAAAACATACATAAAAGAACGGATTTGAAAAAGAGATGCAATATGTTTTGGCCAAGCGGTATTGCCGTAGTATGTCATCGGCAAGCGCAACCCCAAAAGCAGATCAGGAAAGTACAGCTCCTGAAAACTAAAATTGGCATTGCATTCTTTTATGGAATTACAATCAAAGTCTGAGGAGTCACGCCAAGGCTGCATTCTTTCTGCTCCACTGGTAACATTTACTGGAATGTTTTTTAACTAGCGACAGTCAGGAAGATGTGGTGTCAAAGTATCCTGAAATGTATGTGTGTACTGCCCTCTAGTGGCTGGGAACTCCACATTGCAACTTAAACGTTAGCCATCTTCAACGGGTCAGTTTTGTCATAATCTCAACTTTCCTTCAACTTTAACTGTGTGAAAAACAAACAGCTAAACACAAGTTACTTTACGTAAAGTCTGACTTTCTGGGACGAGTTTAAACCTTAAAGAGCAAGTAACGTCTAAATTAACTTTTTTTTGCAGATGAACTGTATAAATGAGTGTCTAATAGTGTTTTAAATGTGTGTATTCATTATTTTAGCATTTTGGTGCATTTTCTTTAAAATTAAAAATTCTGCCTAAATACCACAGTATAGCTCCACCTTCAGCTTAAAACATAGAATTTGACTCATTTTGAATAAATTTTAGCCAATGGCTAAAGAGTAAGATACTACGTAAACCAGTAGAGTACTACGTAGCAGCTCTGTGTCAAAGTTATAAAGCAACGAGCGTCTCGGCCACGCCTTGTGGCGAGTTGGAAGTTGGATTTGCAAGCGAGTGTAGGAGACTAGCCGTAATTCAGCATTAGCATATAGCATTAGCATATCCTAGTCTTTAGCGTAGCCTTTAGTGTTATACATACTTATTTAGTGTTAGCTTGGCTGTTGGATATTGTAGTTTAGTTACTGTTTGGCTGTTAGTGTTATTAGGAAAGTAGTTCGGGTTTAGTGCTCCATATCGTGTTAGCATGGTGAGAAGGTGTAGTGCAGTGGGTTCGGTGGCTCTGTCGGGTTGCACTCCTTTCCACTGGACTTAGAAATTAGGCGCCAGTGGTTGCGCGCAATCGGTGTCTGGAAAACATTCAGCTCCCTGCCTGGTGCTGTAGTTTGCAACCAGCAATTTACCCGCGATTCTGCACAGGGAGGCTGTGCCCACCGTGGCTCTTCCGCGATTTAGATGCAGCCCACCGACTCTGCTCCCCCACCATGACGGGCTACAGTCTGAGGTGAGTAAGCTAAATAAACGTTTTAACATCTTCTAAAGACAATTTCCTACCTAAATGCAAAGTTTGAGAGACGTGGTTCACTCCATTTAGCTAATATCAGCCTGCACTGCCTTCGGGCAGATTTGTCAAGTTCACAAAATGTGGAACGGGATGTAAGGTTAGAATCAGCGGCGAATCGGAACATATCTCGAAGCCATGGCCGACAAAACGGTCCACATGACTGTCAGGCTCAGAGAAAATTCGGGTTGTTTTTGTGTCAGTCGGTAATTCTGCAACAGTGGCTCTAACTAACGCAGCACTAGTTGACAAACAGCATTACAGCGTGAAATCCAGCACAGCGTGACCCGGTTCTGTGAGGAATTCTGTTCAGGAGGTCGCATTTCAGGCTCTCCACATCATATGTGACTGACTTTTACGTTATAATAACGATCACACACTAGGAATGTTATAAAGCGCCTATATGGGACAGTTTCTTTTATTATCTGACTTTATAAACATCAGTGTGCTTCTATTTTTTTTTTCAGGCTAAATCTACCCAAGACATTGGCTGTCAGACTGATTTAGTAATCTGTAAGAATGCACTTGTCCAGGCTGACGTGAAGCCTTACCCGTAGCAAAGGTGAATTATTTTTAACAATCTTCTATGTAAACATTTTATTACCTTCTAGTTTTAATTTGTTTTACAGCTTATTGTTACACGTGATTTTATGCTCTTTTAAACGTTTATAAATGTGCTGCTTCTTTGTTTTTTATAGAGCTCCCAGCCTCAGTGTGTCTTGTGACACAGGGACCATGACAGAAATTCATCTTCCAGAAGGTCCCAGAGCAGCGTCCACACCCCTGAAAAGACCAAGATGTGAGGTGTCTGCTGTTGATTCCAGCTTCCACCTCAGTGACAGTGCAAGCTCAGAGAACTGTTCAAGGTAAAAAAAATTAATATGATGCTTGTGTTTGTGTGGGAGAACCAGAGATAATCTTTTATAAAACAAGCTAAAATGAAAACAGCTGGAACTGGTGTTTTACTGTGTTGATCCTGTTGGCTCAGCCCTCCACCAGCCAGAATAGACAAAAATTAATAATGAATGAGGACCTTTAGTAAGTAAGTTGTTATTGAAATATCCAAATAAATGTTGAACAATAAATCAATAAGGAAAACTTTGAATAAATTAATTAAATGTGGAAATACACTTGAACAAACAAGGAAATAAGACTGAATAAGGCACTGAATGTTTCAGTCCGAAGGGTCAAAGTTCCTTAGAGGATTCATTTTCTAACTACAAGATTTTACACTTCAAATGAACACTGATGATAAACCAAAGTACTACTGTATTTAATACATGAACTCACCACACAACATATGACACTTTGGTGTTAAATTGGACTATTAACTTGATAAAAAAATGGTTAGTTTGCTACATTTTTGTTGTAATTCATCAACAATCGTTACATCAGAGGAGTCTTATGTGAATGTTTGTCACTAACCGAAGGATTGGCCACTTTAAAAATGAATAAAGGTCTTTCATTATTAAGAAGGCTGAAGGTAAAGACCTGTATGAATGCAGACTATACCTGAGATGCAGATCCTCAGAATATTTCAGACAAGCATAGATGAACTCCTTCAGCTGGCAATAGGCTTTAGGTACAAACTCAGAGAAAGGAAGCTTCTTTGGAAGGGGGAGCTAGAGGAGACAGGAAACAGCGGTTTACAGCAGGAGCTGAAGTTTCTAGTGCAACATCTAAGGTGCTGTCTTAATTTGTTGTCTTTGTTGTCTTTTATATTCTCATTGGGAACTCTGGTGCTCTACCTTTTCCAGTTCGGGGTCTTGCAGGGGAAACTGGGACGTGTAGAGTCGGTACTCCTGCTCTGTGGAGACTGGGATGGGGCTGAAGTTGTCCTGGTCCAGGATCTGCCTGAAGAGAACCGACACAAACCACAGGTGAGACGATAGAGCCGGCTCCATTCTCCTCCTCCTCAGAACAAACAATCATGTCCCACTGGAGGTGGGTCTGGTGCTCCGGGTTTTCTTACCAGACCCCTGTCGACACCCAGCCCCAGCCCCCAGCCCCCCCGGCGCTCCAGAGTTCGGACGTTCCAGCGTTCCATGGAGAGGCCGTGAACCGGAGAGGGTTTTCTCCCCAACAATACAACACAACATTCCTGTGGCTTCCCAAGTGTGTGTGTGTGAGGAAGGAGAAAAGCCATGTGCGTGCGTGCGTGTGTGTGCGTGCGTGCGTGCGTGTGTGTGTGTGTGTGTGTGTGTGTGTGTGCGTGTGTGTGTGTGTGTGTGTGTGTCCGTTCCCACTGCTCTGAGTCCCTCTGGTGTCACAGGACAAACAATGGCATGTTATGCCCAAACACACATTCACCGGGGCTCTTAAGGGTCCGACCCACCCTGAGAGGCAGAAAATGTTCCGGAAGCCGTTTTAAAACACTTCCTCCCTCCAGCAGCTCGTAAAACTTCAATGGAGGCTGAGGGTGTTTCCTACCAACACACTCCGCTGTGTGAGAACGCGTTTACGAGTCCTGAAGGTGCCGGTTGACCGTGTGACCTCACGACCCCGGCGGGTGGGTCAGTACAGTGGAGCGGGCTCTTTGGGGTCACTACCTGAAGGTGATGTTCCATCTCTTCAGCAGGATCTCTCCATACTGCTCCCTCATCTCCAGCAGCATGTCGAACAGCTGAGACACGGGGAAGCCATAGCCCTGCAGAGGACGACCAGCAAACAACAACAAACCTTTACTGAAACATTTCTGAGGACTATCACTAATCACACAGATTCTGCCACGTGCCACCAGCTGTCACCAGATCTTTCAACACAAACAGGTGTAACATAATGTTTTAGCCAGATTACCACTACGCTGTGTTCCCAACAGTTATACACTCATGAATAACTGATGAAGATCAACCAGAATCCAAAACCCAACACATCAGAACAACATTAAATAAGACATTGGGATCGGTGTCTCAAATATGGAATAACTCTATGAGAAGCCGGAGAGCTGGAGAACTCAAACGGGTGCATATAACAGAAGCTAACGTTTCGACACCGTATTATGTCTGAACTTTACTTCTTGTGTAGGAGCTAAAAGCAGTGTTTTGTGTACTGCATGTTGACATGTTGCTTATCAATGCCAGCCGGTTATCAGGCAGCCCAGCTGCTGAGTACATGCTCCAAAAACATGTTGATCTGCCCAGCTTATGTAAGTTTCAACTACTTTTGACCATATTAGGATGTGGAAGTAGCACCCCATCATTTCTCAGAATCAAAAGGGAGGTGGGGGTTGAATAGTATAATTGATGCTGCGTGGTGTAGGAGAGGGGGCTTTTGCAGAAGGATCTCCAGCCGAGGTGTTTAGATCGAAGCTGGACGCTGTCCCCTGTGAAGTGTTGGTGATGTATGGATGAGTTGTGTAAATAAATGCCCCCCGCTGAGTTTGGACAAAACCTGTCTCTTTCTTGTTTTTGATAAGGAAAAAGAACCACACTTGTTTCACGTTTACACGGTGAGACTAAAGGACAATCTACAGCCGAAGGACTAATATTTGTGGACTTACAAGTTTGTTTCACTAGCCAACACAATCAAACTGTTTAATGATCCATTTGATTGCGGATGATGCACATTTTAACTCTAAAGCCTGATTTATGCTTCTCCGTCTGCGTCAGTGCGGAGACACGCAACGCCATTATCCGTCCTTGCGTAGGGCTCCGGCAGGCACGCAAGTACGTACGGAGTCGAGCCCACTTTTTTAAACATCCGTCGAATGAAACGGATTACGCAAGCTTGTGATTGGTCAGGACGCCGCTGTTTACAGCACCGCCATTGCAAAGAGAGCCGAGTTTAACTAGAGGCAGACACGGAGAAGCTTGAAGAAAACCTCGCGAAAAAACTCTAAATATATGAACGTTTGATTCTCCCGTGACTGGAGGAGTGAAAAGATGCGCAGCAAGCATTTTATTTGTGGACGGAAATGACAGGAAACGTGGGTTTTGAGGTGGGGAGCGCATGAAGCGGTGGGAGAATGAGAGACAAATATGTCCGTGTTAAAAGTCTCCGTACACAAAAAAACACAATATAAACACACTATCTTGGACCGATGCATGACAGGATACCACAGAACAGTGCTACGCCCTCTGTGGTCCTGCCGGGCAATTGCTTTGCAACACTCTCCAGGAGACGGAGAAGTAAAAGAGCAAAACGCTTCCGTCAATGCGTGCGTGTCTGTCCCTTGCGGAGCTGACGGAGAAGCATAAACCAGGCTTTAAACCTACAACATTTGTAGAAGAGCTTTAAGTAAATTACATTTTAGTGTTTCGTCTGTAATTTGTGTTCCTTTGGCCAACAGGAGAAGAAAAACCTGGACCTGAGGAACATTACAGACCTAAAACAGTCCAAAACTTAGACTCTCCGAAGCCAATAAAAACATGAATTCATGGATTCTGCTACTCCTCATCACTTCACATGAATGACTTGTGGGCATCAGACCACCCATTCTTCAGTTCTCATTGTTCCATGTGCCTCGTTTGTCTGGAGTCCGTCTACCATCCGGTCTGTACACACATCCCTCTCCATCTCTTTATCTCCTCATCCATCACACTCAGTCCATCCAGCACTGTTCTTATGCACAGTGGAGCATAAACACAGATGATCAACTTCTGTTTCTAAACGGTCCAGTTAAGAAGAAAATCCTTGTGGAAACTGGCTGCTGCTGACGCTGAAAACAGCAAAACAGGCTTAGAGAGAGATTCACGGTTCTCCAGAAGCCCGATACCCAACCAGGAGTACGACAGCATGGGTCCTTGTTAGGGATGAACCAAACATACCTGCAGTGTGTCCGCAAACAGGACAATGAGGTTCTTCAGATCCAGCACCAAGTCAGGGTCATCACAGTATGACTGCAAAGAATTTAAATAGTAAATCAAACAAATGTGGTGTTTAGTTGTTTTATGAACACAGACACTCCCAAACGTTACCCCAAGGGTTAGGGTTGGTCCTTCCCTCTGATGCATCTCTGACGTAACAAGTGATGTTAATGTTACAAAAGCTGTTTGAAATAAGTAAATAATGCCCTGATCTTTGCTGTGTGGCTGTCCTGCTCTGTCTGGACCAGTACTTGGAGATAAGATGGCGTTAAGTGGATTGGGCGAACAGTAAAATGGGATAGGACCTTGGTCGTTACTTAGTTTGTCTTTTATTCTCTTACAGAGTGTGTCCTCAGAGCAGCGATGATTTTGGACAGCGCCAACTCCCAAAGCTCCTCCACATAGGCTCTGTTGACCAAACCCTGTGTGGTGTGAAGGACGTGGTCCTCAACAACAAAGAAGCTGGAAGGAGGGGCAAAGACACCAAGAGATTAATGAAAGAACATCTTTTTTTATTTGATAAAGAGTTCAAAAGGAGATGATAAAGTTTCATGTTTATCCTCCAAACAACAATATGGATGACGAGACAAGCTTTTTTTTTTGGATTAAGACCCCAAAGATACAAATTCTAATTAATCAAAAGAAAAAAAATTCTCTGAACTCAAACAAGTGAGCAGCTTTGTGCTCCCGTCCCTGAGGGCCTTTATCCAGCACGGTTCAGTTGTTTTCCCTGATTCAACACACCCGATTTTAATCAGGAGGTGATTAACAGGCTGCTGCAGAGCCCGATGAGCTGATGAACAGGTGAATCAAGTGTGTTGGGAGTAGGGAAACAACTAAAACATGCTGGATGCCGGCTCTCGGGCATGGGAGCCGGAAAAGCTTCTGCCGATCACAATTCAACACCGGATTATGAAAGAACGGATAACGCTCAAAACGCGCGGATTAGTCTACTCTTTGTTTTGTCGTTGACATCATAATAGAGCGCAACGTTCTGTGACTCTTAAAAAACAGTGAAAACGCTGATAAACGCTGGCAGCGAAGGGCTTTACTGATCAGGAAATGGCTGGCAGCGAGTGAGTTAATGTACTTTGTGTAAATACGAAGAGCCTTTCCATAAACGTGTGTGTGTGTGTGTGTGTGTGTGTGTGCGTGCGTGTGTCCTTGTAGCCAAGTATATCGAACCAGCAGACAGAAAACCAAGAACAAGTCAATATTCTCCACACACCCTCCAATCACTCATCACCATCAACAGGATATTAGACCCAACGTGTGTGTGTGTGTGTGCGCGCGTTTGTAATACACTGAAAAAAAAGATGGCGTGATGGGTAAGCATAAATGTGAAAAGTAGAAACGGGAAGGAGAAAAAAGGGTGGAGCAAACAGTTGGAAAGGAAAATAACCAAATTTTCTAAAACCACTCAGGAGAAAGTTTAATGAAGTGTCGCTAAAAGTTTGCTAAATTCCTTGGAATCGAGTTGCAGATAATTCCATAAAAACCTGCCATGAATGGATGGTTGGATGGATGAAGAGAAGGGTAAAAGTATTAAAACCAAGGCTGGCCCATTAAAATCCCTCCATCCTAACACCTCTCTAATGTTTTTATTTAAAACATCCTGAAGCCCTGAGGCTTGTCGTGTTGCTACGACACATTCGGTCTCCACATTAGTTACATTTTATTTCATCTGAATCTAACGAAGAAAAACAAGAAATACTTTAAAAAGGAGAGAACTAACAAAGGCTGGACTTACCCGATGATCTGATTGAAGTACCGCCTGTACCCCTCAAGGGTTTCATGCTAGAAAGACAAAAACACATATATACATATGTATATATATATATATATATATATATATATACATACACACACACATACCTACACATTCATATCCATAAGCATACTTTATAAGTATAAAAAAGCATAATAAAAGAATGGTAAATGAATCTGCAGGTTCTTTAATGGAAAAGGTCGAAACACTCCTCACTAGATATAAATACGTAAAGCTGTTATTTAAAAAAGCAAATATTTATCATCAAAACTACTAAAATCTAGAACGGATGTTTAATCCAGATTTCTTTTAAGAATCCCAAAGCTTTACATGATATCAGAAATAAGATAATCCTTCTGGTTATTTTTTTTTAGTTCATGTTAATGAGTGTGTGTGTGAGTCAGGCAGAAGGTGTGTGTGTGTGCGTGCGTGCGTATTCAGGTTAGTCGTGTGCAGACAATCAGAGGCAGTGTGGGGTCATACCATGTTAGAGTGGGGCTGCAGAACCAGGCGAGCCTGTTTCCTCCTCTGCTTTCTGTAGTAGTTCTCAAACACGTCACGCAAACCCTAAAACACAAACTCACGTTAACCAAGGAACTACTTCCTGTTAGGAACACCGGATAGAAGACAACAATTCCTTAATAAAGAACACGTGTGTGTAGGGTTAACTTTGACCAACTATGTGGAATTATTAGATTTCATGAATACACAGAAGTGCAGCACTGATTAAAGCTGAGCACACTTTACAGAAAAGCAACATTATTTAACCTTCAAAATTAAAGGCAAATAAAACAAAATTACTAGTTATTTCAAATGTGAATCTATGTTTCTTGCTCAGACCCATAAACATGGTTGAAATTTTGACTAAAGCAGGTCTAAAGTATTACTTGTTTTGCTTTTAAGCCATAAAAAGCTGTGTTAAGAGTTTTCCAACTCTTATTACGCTAAATATTTTAAGGCAGACAATCATCAGTTAATCATCTGCAAGTGAAGTCGTGGTGGATGGCTGCTTATACTGAGCCAGGATCCTCTGGAGGTTTCTTCCTGTTAAAAGGGAGTTTTCCTCTCCACTGTCCCTGCATGCTTGCTTAGTATGAGGATTGCTGTATAGTCACTGACACTAGTCAGTGACTTGATGCAATTTGCTGGGTTCCTTATATAGGAAACATTTTTTCTGATTGGCTTAATGAACTGTGAATTGGAATGTTTATTATGTGAAGTGCCTTGAGACGACTCTTGTCGTGATTTGGCGCTATATAAATAAACTTGAATTGAATTGAATTGAAATAATCTTATAAACAACAATTTAAAAAGATGCAGGTAATGTGCATTTAGCTTCAATCCCTTTGAGTCAAAACAGGTCAGCATGATTTCTGAAAGCACGCGTATGTGTGTGAGAGTTTTATGATTACATAGGACCATAGTTTTGCTGTTACACACACACACACACACACACACACGATCTTTCTAAGCTCGACCTCTTCATATCTATTTATTCCATGACTCATAAGCTCTTTATCTCTGACAACCACGTTTGTTGTGGGAGAGTGTGTGTGAGGCCTCAGAGTTGGACCTGATGTTACCGCTGAGCTCAGAGATAAGCAACTAAAACCATCCTGATAACATGAAGTCCTCCCTGTGGCATGCAAGCATGACTGCTTAGTGACTACTACCCGTTATCACTGTGACAGAAACTTTCTTTTAAGAACTATTTTTACATGATTACAAGTGAAGTGGTATGTTTTACAATCTATTCACTTTAGTGTGATGACGTCCATCATTAACCCTTGAACTGTCTTCTAAACTCCAAACTATTTGCAAAAAAACAAAAAAAAAACTACTGGAGATTATTGTTGTATTTATTTGTAGCTATTTTTGTTGTCTTTAATCTACAACTTTCTTCTAAACAAGAAGTAAAACAACATTTTAACTCATCAGATATTCTACAGATAACACCGTAGAGACATCAGGCCGTTCTGGCAAAGAAATATCAATTACATTTTAGCCAAGGCTCCATTTTTGCACACCAGAATATCAGGCATGTACACCACCAATCCCAGGTTGTGACGGCGCCCAGAAAAAAACTCATCCTGGGGGGGGTACTGAAACGGTCACGGACAAAACTCGCTTCACTTACATCGTTTCACATGAGAGGGACTTTGTGCAAAAAACTTGACGCACGTGCTTGCATAAACAGAACAATTATAGCTCTTTAAAATGTGTAATATACATCCCCTTTAAAAAGATAAGAGACCTACAGTAATGTTTTCCACTTCTGGCTGCTGAACTATGAAACATGTGGTTTAAACCTGCACCTCAAGTCTAAATCTAGATAACTTTTTGAGCCCTGCTTATGTTGTTGTTGCTCTTTAATTCCCAGTTTGGCCCTCGGCTGAGCAACATGCACTCAGTATGGGAGTGGCTTCAAACGGGCGTGAGCTCTTCATCTTGTAGTGCTCAACTCCCAGAGAAGAAACTGTGACAATGAGTAAGAGTGACATGCACGATGCCACACAAACACAGCAGGCCTAACCTAGAGAAGATCACCACACACACTGCTTCAGATTCGTGTTTACTTCCATCAGAACTCGGCCCGCATTGCTCAACATGCGGTGCATGAGCGAACGTAAACAAAAGGGTGTGTTGTTCAGCCCTGATGCTGCTCAGTGACAAGTGGAAAAACATCAATGTCATGCATGAAGATGACGAGGGTGAAGGAGCAGCCTGGTGGCCGTTGGTGATCTTCCATCAACAGCAGCAAATTCTAGAACATTCTGCTCTCCTGGCCCAAACCGAACTGCTTTCTCGCGCTCGTTTCTCTCCAAACACAAGTGTGGATTCGACTCCAGAAAGTCCGACAACAGGAGGATAAATGGAGGCAGCGATGGAACCAACGAGCACATAAAACATCAGAGAGGGAGAAGCTGACCTCAGAGGTAACCAGTTCAAACCTTTCAACGCCTCCCTGAAGCTGAACACACTCCTTTCCCTTCTCTGGCTCTTTTTCTTTCCAACCCCCCACAGCAGCGACACCCCCTTCTCTAATCTCCATCCTTCTCTGTTGTGTTTTCTCCTTCATTTTCCTGTTTTTGCCCTTTTGTCCTCTCCGTGACCTCGCCTTCTTTCCTCCCCTTCTGATCCCTCCTTATCGCTCTTCAGCTGATCCACTCTCTGCTACTACACATCCACCAGCCTAACACCCCGACCCACACTTTCTCATCATTCATATGTTTTCCACATTTCTTTTACCACTTTACATTAACATCCTCCATAATTCATTTAACTTTTCAGACTTATCTTTCCCTCTTTGAATCTAAAGCTCAAAGAAGAAATCCTTTATATTCATAGATAAGGGTGCAACAATACCACTTTTTTCCAAACCGATACCATACCGATACTTGGATCCAACTACTTACCGATTACCGATACTTCTACCAGACAAAAAAATGCAATGAATTGGAATACAGGTTTTATTTTCTTCTCTGCTTTCAACAGGAAAAGACTGAGGTAGATAAAAGATAAAATATATTAAAATAAATTATCACTAAGCTAAAATATTAGATGAACAGAAATTACTAGTTAACTGCTTTGGTATCTGTTCCTGGTATCGGTTCACTTTTTACCGATACTGGCATCCCTATTCATAGTATTTATTATTTTAGCCTCTCCCTCTTCTGATACATGTTGATCACAATAAGACTAAAGAAGCTCTTTAGTTTGTTTCATTAATAAATAATCTAATGTTTCAAGAGGGTGATAGTGGTGTACCACAAGGCTTTGTTCTCAGTCTCGGGATGTATTTATGCCACTTTATTAAGCACCCCCTGCTCAGCTGCTTGTTAACCCACATATCTGATCACCTGGCAACAACTTGAGGCATTTATTCATCCATTAGTGGTTAAGATATCTAGTTAAATTTTAAAATGAGCATCAAAATCAAGAATAAGCAAGGTTTCAGTCTTAGAAGGTAATATTTGTTGATGTGTTGGAATTTTCACTCCAAAACCTCTGAAAGGGTCCTGCTGACGCAGACTTCAACAGTAACCCAAACCACTGGTTCCGACCAAGAGCAAGCAGAACAGCACCTCTGAAGGTACCACTCACACAGGATTACCAAAACGGAACCAGAAGAGACCGGAAAAACCTTTCCTCGTCTGATGACTCTTGAGTTTCAGCTGCAACATTCAGATGGTGAGGTCAGAACTTGGTGTCACCAACATGAAAGCATGGATCCAGCCTGCCGTGTACCGATAATTCAGCATGTGGAGATGGTGTGATGTTATGGGGGAGATGTTCCTGACCCACATTGGGCCTATTAGCAGAGTGCTTTTAAAAAAATCCTTAATAAAAGCAGACGAGGCACTACCTTGACAACATTTTAAGCTTAAGAGACTCAGTTTTGGACTTATTACATTCATCATGTTGCTCATCTTGGCCAACTGCCACAGACATGAATACACCCAGAGTATCTGCTGGAAGATTAAACCTCTTTAAGGCCCGTCTGTTTGCCTCCTCCATCACCTGGCCTTCTTACCCTTTCTCTAACCTCAGTTTTACCTTTTCACTCCTTCCATCTCTCTCCTGCCTGTTGGCTTTCTCTTTCCTGTCAAAGTTCATGCACTTCCTGTTGCCCTGCCAGGGAGCCCCCCCTTCAGACACACACTCATGCTGAACAGAAACACCCGACCCTGTGGCTGTGTTGGCCCGGTCACAACCCCTGCAGGCCTGCACACACACAAACACACACACAGACCCCAAAGTGTGCAGCTGACCCAGTCAACACCTCCACCCGCGTCGCTTTCGCTCAGACTGAGATGAGACACGCAGCCTGGTTGGAGCAAAGCCAGGCTCGAGCCTGAGGCCTCATCGAACACCGTCGCTGGCCTTTCAGCTCATAAACCTCCTGCTGTTTACCCATAGAGTCCAATAATACAGCTGCAAATCACCACGAAGGCCTCTGATTGGATAAAGACACTCCAGAGGATGACCATACGAGTTATCTCGTTTTAAACTTACAGGATTTGGCACAAAATATTACAAATACGGTAATAAACCAACACTTGATTTAAGATGTCCTGCATTTTCGTAGATTATTTATCAAACAAAGTTTAACTAAATGTTTCTAAAACAGGAAGGTGTGGTTACAGTGATGTAACTGGACTTCTTTTGTAGGGAGGAAACAGGGAGGTTAAAGAGGACAGACTCACCAGGACGGTGTAGATATGCAGACAGCGGTAAACAGGGGAAAAGTCCACCAGCTCCTGAGCTCCTGGTACCTGCACAGAGAAACAATATCCATCTATCCAATGTCTGAACCCGCTTTGTCCATGTAGGGTCACGGGGGGGCTGGTGCCTATCTCCAGTGGTCAGTGGGCAATCAGGCGGGGTACACCCTGGACAGAGAGCCAGTCTATCGCAGGGCAACACAGAGACAAAGGACAATCACATGCACACACACACACTCCCACCTAAGGACAATTTAGACAGACCAATCAACCTAACAGTCATGTTTTTGGACTGTGGGAGGAAGCCGAAGTACCCGGAGAGAACCCACACATGCACAGGGAGAACATGCAAACTCCATGCAGAAAGATCCCAGGCCGGGAAGCGAACCCAGGACCTTCTCGCTGCAAGGCAACAGCTCTAACCACTGCGCAGCCGAGAAACAATATTGCAAGAAAATATCAATACAGTGAACAATATTTCATGTTATAGTACTGAACAGACTTTTCAAAGTAGAGTATCGATTTTTTTATTGAGAGTTTACATTCAAACATGTACTGTTTCTTTAGTGTGATGCAATTCCAACTCTGACTGCTAGGTGGCAGCAATAAACCCAGCCCAAGATCTCACCATGGCCCTGGATGTGTCTGGAAACATCTGACCTGAGTTTTCCGATAAAATACTGCCTGAAAAAACTTGCTAATATCGTTAGGTCTTAGTATTGCAATATATAGTGTCATTTCCCCTGTACTTCAATAGGGTTAGGGTAGGGTTAGATTCACGCCAATAGGGAGCCTAAGTCATACCCATCTACTTCCGGACCATGGGTCCCCCCAGAAGAGCGAAAAAATGAATGTAAGTCAACAGAGCTAAAAACGCTATTTTCTAATTCAGCTTGTTATGTGCCATGGATTTCATATGATGTCCGTGAATTTTAAAGATGCATTATGATACCAAGAATGTTCTTATTTTCTAATGGGGGAAACTTTATTTTAGGTTGTGTGTGAAAATAAGTGCAGGACTACAAATGTGCATAACTACAGCGACATCACAGAACCAGACGTGGAAAAAAACAGAGAAAATGGCTGCAAGTTTAGCAAACTTAAAACCCTTCCTTCAGGAGGAAAGACCCACCATAAATCTGGCCACGTGGTACGTAGCAGCTAAGCTAGGGGAGAGGAGATCCTGTGGTGACGTCATTTATGCAACATCCTGACGTTTGATTTGTAGTCATGCTAATTATGAACTTTTACAAGCTGATAAACCTCAAGTACGTGACTCGCGTAGTTAAAACACACATCGTTACTTTTCATTTAAATTGCAGTACAACATATGTGTGATCCAGGGTCTAGACCAGGGTTTGCCTTAGGGCAAAGCGGATTAGAAAACGGCTCTTTTAGCCCCATGGACGTGTAAAAGTCCTTTCATTCTTCCAGGAACCCATGAGCAGACCGGAAAGGGAGACGACTTGGGCTCCCTATACACACCTCTAGTTAAAAGTACTATAAAACCACCCAGTTGTTTTCAATATTAACGATTACGGTTTAAATTTGTGTATTTAAACACGTGAGTCTCACTCATTTCTACTGAGGGTAGGTGTGTGGGTTAAAACAACACTAAAGAGTTTTTAACGCCTTAATCTAATGCTTTCAGACTGATTTCAGTGGTTCTTTAGCCAAACACTTAACCAACTTCACTTGGGACAGCACTCCGTAGCCCTCCGCTGGCCAGAAACTGCACAAAACGACTTTGGTGGTCCGGGTAAGAACACCTGCGTTACGGCTTTACTGTGTCGGTAGCTGTAAAGGCTAACAGTTAGCTTTTTTCATTCACTGACTCAATAAAAAGCACAAGAAGAGGGAATCTTGGTGGATTGGATTAATATTTAATAAAACAGAAATTTGATTACCATTTGGCTCCATTACTCAGACGGGTGTAAGAGCTTCTTAAAGAGCAAGTCATCCCCTACCAGAGTCTAACTCCACTCGCACTTCATGTTTGAAAAATGCAACAAATGCCGTTGCCTGGCAGACCAAGAGGGCGGAGCCGCTAACAAATACACACACACACAGACTCACGGCAGCATTGTGACATCATAATGTATCAGTTTACATCATAGCATACCTCTTAGCCAATAGCGGTGGCAGATTTAAATTAAAATACAGTGCAGAGTTTTTACCTGACAACGGCACAACACTGCCAGTTTTAGGCAGAATATTTAAATTTTAACTAAGAGGCACTGAAGTACCAAATTATAGACTACACGTGTCTGCAGCACGATTAGACTCGCTTTTATTTAGTTTATCAGCAAAAAAAAGTTGATTTGGGGGTGACTTGCTCTTTAAAGTTTCTGTCCTCTTCTTATAAATTCTAATAATAACCTGGTTTAGAGTTTCTTTTTACCACTTCATTAAGAAAAAGATCACGAGGAATTTCATGTATTTATTTAGGTATTTTCTGATCACGGTGAGTCAACAAAGGAGAACTGTCATCTCCTCCCTCATTAAAACATTTTAAAGAACAATTACTTAAAACAATGTCATAAATATAAAAGCTCCTGTAATCTAAAGTTTGCTCCAAAGTGTAAAAAACTCCATTAAAAACTAAATTGTAGGAATGGAAAGGCAGTGGAGTGTTAAAAAGGATAAAAATGAAAAGAAGAATAAAAGAAAAACAAGAAAATAAATGGATTTGATGCCAGGAAAGAAAGAAAAAAAGCGTGGCAGTGACGGAAAATTCAAAGAAGAAGAAAGACACGGGGTGACACGAGGCGGCGGAACGCTGATGGTTGGCATTTCTGGCAGGCGCCAACATGGTCGTAACCCTGCAGAACGCGAGGTCAGGCCTTTGTTCTGACCAAGGTCAGCTGAAGACGGCGGTTGAGTCAAGTTTTACAGGACATCAATAAGCCAGAGGGACGAGAGCGGTGAGCGGCAGCTCGGGGTGACGAGTTCACCTCCATTCTCCTTAACCTCTTTGTGCTTCGGCTCTTCCTCGAGTGGCAACAACAAAAGAATCCTGGGAGGGATGACTCGCAGAGTTCAGGCCCCAAATATGCTCCGTCCATTTAGGAATCATTAACGTCCTCACTCCAGTAATCCCGTTTGAGTGCTGATCATTCGTCAAGGATTGTTTTTGTTTACATTCAAATACTAGAAATACAAAACTGTGGGTTTAAAGTTTACAATCAGTGCAGCAGCAACCTACGAGAGTCATTAATGAAATAAAGGTTTTTCTCCTATTTTTACCCCAGCGCTGCTCCACTGACCAGCTGTAGGTGGTGATTTAAGCTACAGACATCTGAACACCTTCCGTCTGTTTCCACACGTCAAGCTGCTCTTATAATGTAAAGATCAAAGGAAAGTCGATCATTAATAAATAAAAACATCTGGGAAGCCGAATCAGAGATCAGACATGGGTAATGTCAACCGTGAGTGTGTGTGCGTGTGTGTGTGTGTGTGATGGCCTCACATCATCCTCCTCTTCATCCTCCACATCCAGAATCCCAGAGTTCTGTTTGAACATGGGGATGCCCCCCTGCCTGCCGCTCTCCGCTCCCACCGCGGCCGCCATCTTCCTGCCGCGTCGGCCAATCAGAGCTCGTGGCTGCATGGTGACGGAGCTGTCCAGTGAGCGCTGGAGCTGGGCCTGAACAGAAACACGCATCAGCGGGTCACAAAGGTCAAATCTTGCTGATGGAGGAGCTTCATATTTTTGCCTCGAGGAGGGGCCCCTCCTCCTCCTGGCTGACCTGCATTGTTTGTGTCTATTCCAGTTATTTCCTACATTTCCCAGAACCCTTTTCAAGTTACCCAGAGGAAGAGGTGGGAGCCGTTGGCTCTACTTCAGAGAGTCTGAGGCTCTGACACCAAAACCAGATGTTACCTGATAACAATGATGCACCGTCTGCACTCAGACCACTGGAGCTGAACAACATCTGCTCAGCTTCAACGCCCTGGATTCAAAAACCAGCACCAGCTTTCAGACAACAACCGCGTCCCTCAGAGGTTCTTTGAGGAAACCTGTTTTGAGGACATGTTGTTGCTGCCACACCTACACTAAACATCAGAGCAACAAGAGGACAGGAAAGAACCCAGAAGGAGCAGGAAGGATAAGGGGTCAAAAGGCAACCGATTCAAATTACATCCAAGACTGAGGACCAAAAAACAGTTAATATGATCTCTAATATCTACGTGAAACCTTTTAAAATGCACCTGATTGGTCTTCCCGACTAGTGTGGTGCTCGTGGAACGTTTCAAGTCTACTGTAAGAGCAGTGGGGGGGTTGATCTTGTTGCCGTGGCGATGCAGTTTGAGCCTATGTAGGGGAACACTGACCTTTGATCGTTAGACACAAAAGTGGAAGAAAATGTGAATATTTCAGCTAGCATCACGCTAAAATGAACGTCAAAACCAGGAATATTTACTTTGTTTTCATTTTACTGTCACCTTAGGCACACCTCAGCTGTCAGATTGTCCTCTCGTCTCCGGTGAGCTTTAGTTTAGAGTAACACCACAAGAGAGACCCTGGGAGCCAGAAGCTTTATAAACTTTTCAATACATTTTTTAAACCCCCTTTGAGATTGTAATCATCAATAATCTTTAAACAACCATAAGTAAGAAGCCAATGGCAGCCAAATGTTTAAATTTTTATTTTAAAGACTAGAAATGGTAAAATGGTTAAGGAGAAACAAATATATGACCCTCTTAATTTTTAATTATAATCAACTCAGAGACGCAGTTTAAGGAGATGTAGGATACAGCAGTTCTACCTAAATAATCTTATGCATTAAAAATGCTCTAAAAATTAAACAACATTAAATTATACACGATATATTTTATTTGAAAATATAGCTTTAATTTTACATGTATTTATTTGAATATTATACTAAATATTTCTATTCATTTACAAGTTCAGGTTCAGTTCAGTTCACTTTATTTCAAACATACATTCACCAACATTTCATAAAATCATTCCACGCAATTGTTTGAAAAGGAGTAGGGAGAAGTGTTTACTTATTTAGCCCTACCCCCTCAGGTTTACATCCTCATCATCAAAATTTAAACAACAAAACATTTACAATGCCTTCAAAAAAAAAACACAAAAAAAAAACAATAATAATAAATAAATAAAATTCTCATGTTCAACTAGAACTATATTTAGATTTTCTAATTTGTAGAATAGATTAAACATCAGTTTGCATGCTGTCCTGGGTTAATTGCATTTTCTTCATTCTTATACTTATTTAACATTTCTTTTTTGAGTTTTATTTTAAACTGGTTTACATTACTACTGTCCTTTATTTCTTCTGTTAACTCATTCCAGAATTTAACGCCCGCTATTGAAATAGACATCCTTTTCAATGTTGTTCTTACTCTTTGTACTTTTAAATTCCAGAAAAACAGAAAATGATAAAAACAGATATGGTTGAAGCAGGAGGATACACATGAGTCAACACCATAAGTTCCTCTGATTTTACTACATCTACATTTCTATTTTAAACAACTGACAGTTTTCATGTTTGAATAAAAAAAAACAAGTTTTGAAAACACAAAATGAATATTCCAGCTTTAGGAGAGTTTTATGTTCCTCCTGCTGCGGACGATTCTAGAAACGTGTTTGGTGTGACTACCCTCTTTAATCCTGGACTCCAGTGATTCAACACAAACCATCAACAAACCGTTTTGGAAATAAATAATTACTCAAAGATCCTTCAGAGCTCAACGGTGGTTTCTAATTATAAATAGGATGATAAGACAAAGCTTTGTTTTTTTGGATCTACAGTGAAGACCTTAACAGGAAATGATACATTGGACTTCCTCTAAGCTGCTGCTGTACCAGAATATCTAAAAATACAAATAAAACAGGAAGTGATGGTTGGAGAATGTCTCCAAAACAAAGTAAAAACAGAATCTTGTCCAGAGTCATTCAAACCTTAGAATACCATGTTATTTTGAAGCGTTTTGTTTTTTTAGAAAGGTGTTTTGAAGTGGATTCCCACGGCAGGTCTACATCCCCTTATTTCTGTGGGAAAACCTTCTAATGGAGGGGAAGCCCAACGAGCATCTTTCCATCCACACCCACATCGGACTCGGCTTCTTTTGAAAAATCGACACGGAGGCTTCCTTCGCTCGTCGGCGCCAGCGCACTGCCAACAACGTGCCGTGAAATCGGCCACGTGGGACGTTGAAGAAATGCGTCAGGGAGTCCAAGAATCTCGATTTGACGGCGATAATGAGAAAAACTGTTGTGCGTGCGAGGCTGGATAGGCAGAAACCCGGAAGAACACACTCTGAGAACACAATGCCATCTTTGATCTGATGCCCACTCACACCATTAGAAGGTAAATGAGTCATCTCAGACAATAAGTGCAAAGAAATCTGTGGAAATTCTTATCCTCCTGCTATGAAGGTCAAAGGAACGAGGGCAGAAATGTTCAACGCCGCGACCTCTCTTTAGACAGAAATCGATATAAAAGGTGTTTTATCGGTTTTTCTAACCTAAAAACTCAAAACTTTGATTGAACCAAAAGGAGAATTAATGAAAAACTTCAGAAAAGTGGTAACGACGTCAGACGCAACAGCAACCATGAAAGGACCCTAGAGAGATGAGAGCTGTTGCCACAGAAAGCATCTCTCTGGAGGTCCAGTCAGAAAACGTCACCGTCTACGTCAAGAAGATCCACTCGGCCATTTCACTTAGCTCCTGCATTCTTCTGCAGGTGTGTGAAAGAAGCACGCACTCACCCGACCCCTCATTCAACCCAAAAGCACAAAACCTGGTTCTGCTGCTTCGAGAACCCTTTTCTTTGGGGAAGGCATTCGCTGAGGTCTTGAAACACAAGTGCAGGAATGTGCGTCATCTGTTGCGCAAAAGAGAAGAAACAATACCGTGGCAGAAGCGCCGAGATGGGAGGAGGTGAGAGGATGGATACGGAGACACAGCAGGACTTTAAAAAAATAAGTTAATACTTAACTGAACATCTAACCCAACACTGGGGGGGTTGGACCCCCTCAGAAACTAAGTCTTGGTGGATAAATCAAGCAGAAAAAAAACAAATCGACACCAACAGTTCTGATATGCTGCGCTGCCCTCTTATGAGCTACAGCAGGTTTTGACACCCAGGTTTAGAGATGAGTAACACTCGTGTGATCATCTCTGCTGATCGACCGCTCAATGGCTATTGTTGAGGACAACAAGGACCTTCAACTTGATGTTTTTGATCCACACCTAAAAAAAACTTGGATACCACTGAGCTAAACTTTACATTCACAAGACATCCGATTGTGTCAAGAAACGTATAACGATTGTTTTGTAAAAGCTTTTATGCCCTGCCCTCCTAGTGTAAATGAATGGGACAATGGTCCCAATCCAGGCTCATTCAAGGTTGATGACATCACAGCAAAGTGGCGAGGCTGTCCAAATTTGAACAATATTCAAAATGTGTTCAAATTAGTCATTTTCTCACATTTAAAGGATGGGTCTGGTGTATCGTTACTGGCAAAAGCTAGCCAAGAGTGGTCCACACGGGAGATTTCGGTTTTTGTATTTACGAGGCAGGGTTCGTTTTAAATGTTAATATATGAATATCCGTTTAATTATCTGTTGTTATCACAGAGTAGGCCAGGCTTCCGGCCCCATCACCAGACTCATAAGACCCTGGTTCCAACATGGTGGTGTACCTGTACACAAGGTAACGTGGCTTTGCTTTTGTAGACTAGATGGAGATGTCCATGAGGACGAATGTAGATCTTCTCATGTGCTATCTGCTTAAAACTAGTCCTTGATGTTCTCCTTCTGCATGAACATGTCCCGTTTGTTTGACCTCGCCTTCGAACCCTGAGAGCATCTTAAAGGTTACCAAAACCCTGGCTAAAGAGGGTCAACCAGATGGATCTGATACAGGCCCAAATGATGCTGGTTTGGGATCAGCTGGGAGGAAAATCCCTACAGATCACGGGGTGATGGACCTCCTCCAGACAGGGAGGATGCAGGGACAGCAACGAGCTGTGGAGCGGACCCACAACAACCCATAACCGTCCGGTTTCATTCCCCTTCTGATGGTTCAATACACCGACCCAGCATGAGCCCTCCACCACACACACACACACACACACACGTGGACGCACGCACACACACACACACGCGCGCACGCACGCACACACGCACGTGTGTGAGCTCTGTAACTAGATACAGGTAATCAATCTTCTTCCACTTCACAGGCCCAGCAATCTGTTTCCCATTAGTGTGTGTGTGTGTGTGTGTGTGTGTGTGTGTGTGTGTGTGTGTGTGTGTGTGTGTGTGTGTGTGTGTGTGTGTGTGTGTGTGTGTGTGTGTGTGTGTGTGTGTGTGTGTGTGTGTGTGTGTGTGTGTGAACAAACTTTGGACTCGTCCTTTGCCGAACGCACAAGAACGAAGAAAGCGGAGGGGCGAGAAACTGAAAGTAAATGAAATGGAGAGAGCAGAAAAAGAGAAAGTGACAGAATCTAGGAAAGGTGAAAATGCAACGCGACATAAGAAACGGTAAGGGGACCTGACAGGGACATTAGAACATGTTTATTGTTCTCGTGTTCCTTCCTCTCTGATGCATCTTTGTAGTGTTTTTACCCGTCCTGCTGCTCATTCCTTGGGGACCCTACTCTGGGTACTTTGATGACAAAGATCCAAGAAACCCCGTCTGAGACGGTTGGTTATGAAAAAGTAGGAACACAGAACAAAGGGTTGTAGTCAAACAAAAAGAGAACATTTTCACAAATCGTCTACCTGCACAAATTCAGCTGGCCGACACGGCCGGTCAGGGGTATTCGATTCCAGGCCTGGAGGGCCGGTATCCAGCAGGTTTTTGTTTTACTTCTGCTTCAACACACCTGATTTCTATCAGCAGGTGATTAACAGGTTTCTGCAGAGCCTGATGAGCTGCAGCACAGGAGATGTAACCACTGAATCAGGTGTGTTGGAGCAGAGAAACCACTAAAACAGGCTGGATACCGGCCCCTCCAGGCCCAGGAATGAGAACCACTCCTGTAGGTAAACGCTACATATATTTATGTTAATCCAGACCAAAATTACATGTTTGAGTTAACGAAAAGTCAAAGACACGCAGACAGGGTGCTGCCATCTTGGGGTCATGTGAGCGGAGAACACACTTTGATTGGCCAGCAGCTCACGTAGTGCGCACATTGCAAGTTCCCCCCGTGAGGCAGAAAATACCAAACCGGTCAGATATTCACCTCAGCCTCTCGTGAGGCGGAAAACTCTGAAAATCAGGCGCACACAGCGAGGCGTCTGCTGAGCAAACGGTCATTCGAGGCCATTGGCTCAGGTTGCTCTCGTGTACGGCAGGCTCTAACCAAGCTTGCCTGCTGGTTAGGGTTGGGGCGCTGGTGGTCGGAGGGACTGGCGGCGTCAGAGCTGGGCAGCCTCGCCTCTGTCAGTGCGCCCCCCAGAGCAGCTGTGGCTGCATCATAGCTCATCATCACCAGTGTGTGCATGTGTGTGTGAATGGGTGGAATCCTAGAAGGTGCTATACAAATACATTTACCATTTACATCACAGACAACAATGGGATTGGACTAAAACTTGAGGAAAACTGGCATTTTCTCTAATTTATTTTACTATTTAGAACTCGTTTTCATCCGTACGGATTTCTCTTCAAGTGTATTATAGTTCTGTTTCATTTTTAGGCTAATCCAACCTAATTTAACTTTTGGTTTTTATCCTTAAATCTACTTTGTGTGCATGTTATTGTGCGGTCACGTTGATTTTAATTTTCATGCTCTTCTCGCTAATGGAAAGCACAGTGAACTGCCTCTGTGTATGAAATGTGTCGTATAAATAAAGCTGCCTCATCTTGCCTGGTCATTTTCCATCGTATTATTGTTCTCTGCATCGATCGGTAGCTGCATACTCCTGCATAACTTACTTGGGTTTACTGGGCGCTATGAATTTTGGTGCTATGATAGTCGTCTTCCGCTTTTTAAAATACTTTGAAGCTAACTGTGCCTAAATCTGTCAGCCAAACAACTTTGGACCTTTGTGTTGATTCAGCTTTATCGTGAAAAAAAATTTATTCTAGTTTTAACTCTACTCTGATCTGGTGGGTACTTTGTGTTTAAAAACTCCTGACACTTCTCCATCCTCCTGAATGTTTGTACCTAAACGCTCCTCGTTTCCCCTCGCCTCCTCCCACTAGGCCTCTGTGACGTTCTTCTCCTCCTCATCCACTCCATCTTCAGTTCTTCCTCCTCTTCCATGGGCATGTGGCAGCAGACAATAGCCCCATTGTAACCCGCGCGCTCTCCTCCGTCTCTCTTATTTCTCCACATCTATTTGTTTTCACATCCTCGGTTAAGGGAGTCGTAACGGCGGCTGGATACAGAGAGTTGGAGCTAATTTGGAACAGAGCACACCACAGAGACTCACTGTCTGAGAGGCAAATGAAGAGGCAGAAAAAAGGGAAAGACGCAGAAAGGGGGGGGGGGAATTTAGATGGGGGGCACAGAAAAGTAAAAGAGGACAAGTTTCCCTCATTTTCATTTATACACACACACACACACACACACACACACACACACACAAAAGTACTCGAGTGCTCGGAGACCAACATCTGATACAACAACCTAATTCTGGCATCAGTATCAGCTCTGAGGTTCCCTTAATCTCACTGGTAATTAGTGGTTGAGCACGATAGCGGTTAGCTTCCTCACCGGCTGCAAGTGGATCTCTACGGCGGCCATTGGCCCACCAACCAAAGGGCGGATGCTAGAGGGCTTTGTGCTGCGTACGGGGTCCGTTTGGATACCAGTTCTGTGTTTAAGAACCCAGAACCAAGAATAAAACAGATGTGTTTTCAGGTGTTGGGTTCCCTCAGCTGGTGTCTCAGAGAGGATACAGACGGTGCCAGGATGACCTTTAATACCAGCCGGGAGTCAGAAACAGGTCTATTAGGAGAAACTGATCCTTTAGCGACATCTAGAGGAGGGGCAGGAAGAAGCCTTAAAAATGCGTCCACCTCGTGGTGACACCAACTGGTTTAGTTATCGGCTCACTGACGCTCGTGTGTTCGTGGTGTCGTCTACCTGTTTCATGGCCGTCTCTCCGATCTTGTCCGAGTGTTTGCGGATGCTCTCCAGGAAGTCTCTCAGCTGTGTCATGGCCGTGTCTCTGATCTGAGTCCTCAGCTTGGGGATGTTTTCCGCCATGATGGAACAGAACCGGTACTGACCCGCTTTCGGAAGACAGCTGTGCTCTAGCTGCTCCAACGTTCGCAACGCCGGGTAGTACCTACAAAACACACACACACACACCTTAGTCTCAACCTAATGAAGACGCTGTGAATCAGACCCGTGTTCATCTAAAACAACTGAAGAGTGATTTTTAGCGGAAATCAAAAACAGGGAAAATGAAACATCACAAAGAAATAAAACACTTCTGGCAAGACCATGCCCTTAAACACCTCACACTCACTCAGCCGTCTGACCTCTTCCTGCTCCCTGTGAGAAGGGCAGCCGCAGGACGGGAGGAAGGTAAACACAAACAGGTCTGTGGCGCCATCTTGTGGCTGAAAGCTCATACAAAATTAAAGAACAGGAATCTGAATTTTCTCCAAAAATGTAAAGCTGCTATAGAAAATTTGGAAAATAAATGATCTTAATGATATATTAAATTATCTGGAGAGGAGGGTCCGTCAGATTGTTGAACCTCAGATTCAGGAGGAACAATGTGGTTTTCTTCCTGGCCGTGGAACACCTGACCAGCTCTATGCCCTTAGGGGGGTCCTGGACGGTGTGTGGGAGTTTGCCCAACCAACATGTGTTGTGTGGATTTGGAGAAGGCGTTCCACTGCACCCCTTGAGGGGCCCTGTGGGGGGGTACTCCGAGAGTACGGTGTACCAGGCCCTCTGAAACGGGCTGTTAGGTCCCTGTATGACTGGTGTCAGAGCTTGGTCTGCATTGCCGGCAGTAATTCAGGCTCGTTTCCAGTGAGAGTTGGACTCCGCCAAGGCTTCCCCTTGTCACCGATTCGGTTCACACCTTTTATGGACAGGATAGGTGCAGCTAAGGTGTTGAGGGGATCCGTCTTGGTGGCTTTAGGATCAGGTCTCTCTGCTTTTTGCAGGGCAACTTAAGACCATCCAGTTGTCGGTCTCTCCAAACCACTGCACTTCCTGAGTCCTCCATCCTTTACAGTATTTAGCAACAGAACACCGCCGGTGTGAGAGGTTCTCTGCTCAGTAATATTAGAGAAGGAGAAACAGTCGGCTGCTACCACTTCAACTTTAGGACAAACTACCAGAGTCCCAAAAAGAAAAACACCATCTGAAGTTACGGACAACAAAAGACGTGTGGATGTAGAAAACAGCAACTGGTGTTTAGCGCCATCTCGGTTTCCGGCAGAAGCATCTCAGGGAAAATACCCGAGGGGAGGGGAGAATTTCCCATGAAAGCGTTTCCGTTCAAAGCCTAGCTCGTTCTGTAGCGTCACTAAAGCAGCTTTGATGTTTGAGTAAATTAATCACATATAAACATGTTTCCATGTTGTCTTATCGTAAAATTTGTTTGATTTAACAGAAAAACAAATACACAGCAGATCCCTCAAACCTACCATCTGTGTTCATTAAATCTCTATGAAGAAAATGAAAGCTGGAAGAAAAATTAAACAAGTCTTTCTGCTTCTCTGAAGACTGTCTTAACACCACCTCTCCAGATGGATCGGGGTGAAAGCTGGGATAGCAGGGAGGTGCTTTTGAAACATAGGAAATGATTAAAGGTCTTTATCACAATGAGAAACAGTCATACGGTGTGATTCAAAAAGAAAGAAAGGCAGAGTTGATTCGCATTTGTCAAGCTAAATGCAGCATTTATACAACTCAGTTGTCTCTAAGAATGTTTCAGTGCTACAGATCTGAAGCTGGTGATTAAAGTCGAGTCACAGTAAGAACCCTTTAAATGTTTGGAATACCTTAAAAAATGCACGCGTCGTAGAAAGATGGAGTACGAGTAAATATCGGCATCGGCAGTTATTTTAAATCAGATAATGCAACCTGAATCTGAACCTTTCTAGCAATTGAATCAGCAGAAACACAAGAAACATAGACCAAATATTCCTACGCTCTTACTTCCATGTCACATTCATGATTTCTGTGTGGAAAATTAGCACTTCTGATTCTCATTGATATTTTCTCCTCTTATTATGGATCAAAGTAAAATAAAAAAAATTTTTAAATACTCATATTGACCCAACATTAGTGAAGATAAAAACGTACCTCTTAGCCCTCATCTGCTCCTGAAGTCTGCTGTACATCTCCAGCACTGACAGAGCCAAACAGAGACCAAACACAGGATCAGTAAATGAAAATTAAATCATGGGAACAAGATCTGTGTGACGATTAATGTGGTGCAAATATTAGTTTACTCCTGGTGTCATACACAAATGAGTTTCCAACAGACAATCTGCATCTCCAATCATCTCAGGCCCAGCCTAAGGGGATACGTAGACATCTGAATGTTCCTTTAGTTTTATTTTTGACTAGACGAGTGTAGTTTGGGACTGGCAGCTACATTAGAGCCTCTGATCTGAGGCGTTTAGGGTCTACGCCAGCTCAGTGACCTTGACCTTTGGTGTTTTAAGTTACCTGGCAGACAGTGGGTCAGCTTGTCGATGGTGGTGGCGATGTTTCTCTGCTGGACTCGACACTGTTGCAGCTCCTCCATTGAACTGGTGAGCTGTGGGGGCGGGGAAACCAGGTGAGCTGAACTGGTTTTACAGTAAGATCATTTATGAACCTATAAACGTACCTCCTTGCCATCTTCCTGGAGACGCTTGTTGGTTTCTGTTACCTGACTCTAGAGAATAAACACAAATTAAACCCGTCCTCTCTAGTTTCCAGATTTTCTCAGAGTCTAAGAGTCTCACCTTCAGTTTCTGGGCCTCTCCTCGTACTTTGAGCAGCTCTGTGATGGAATCCACGAACCCCTGGAAGTGATGGTTACACATCTTCTCAATGTCCCTGTCATGGTTTCTGATGCGAGCGTCCAGCTTCTCCATGAAGAGGCCATGTTCCTGACCGTCGTACACTGACCTGAACAGAGCGGAGAAAAAGGATCAGCTTCTTTTGCTTCATTGATGTTTGGAGTTTTCTTCCAACACTTGTTGACGTCACATCAAATCCAACAGAAACCTTTGCCCCTTGTCGACCAACAGTCATTTCTTGGTCTGTTTCCATAAATGTATGGAATCCGTCTGAATGACAGGTGTCCTTTGAGCCTTTTTTATACAGGGCCCTATTATATTTGGGGCTTGTCCGGGATTATAGCCACTCTTCACAAAGCCAGAGTCTCTAAGATCATGTGACGGTGAGTTTATTAGTTTGGAGTCTCTAGTCATTATACGGCTGCAAAACTAAAGACATTTGCACACAAAGGACAATTTTGTACAAACAGCATGTTCATAACCTTTCACTGTGTCACTAAATAAATAAGAAATACAAATTCTGCAAACACAACAAAGGTCCACTAGGGGGCATTGTTGGGCTGTTTTATTTGTCCTTATACAAACCCACTGCTTGAAGGTGTTTCTTTTAAAAATAAAATGACAGATTATTTTCCATTTCACTGCCTTGCCTAAAGTCACATTAGCAGAAAAAGAGTGAAATGTACAAAACTTTACTGAACAGGTTTGGGGGTTTGGAAACAACCAAAAAGAACTAATGAACATTCAGACATTTCATAGAACTGAAAGTGAACTAAAACCCACCAACTGTCATATTTATTGAATATACATGCAAAAACCCTAATATCCCGGGACTTTAAGCTAAATCTGAAATTTCACAGGAAATAAACAGATGGTTGAATACATAACCAGTTCTATGCAAATAATTAAAGTTTAAAATACTGGCAGCTATACTTGGTGTTTCTTACATCACGACCTTGTCGCAAAGAAACAGATCCAAAATGTGCCTTATATTGTTTTTAATGAGCTTTATTTTTGAATTTAACAACTCTGTTAACAAACAGAGCACTTTTGTGGGGTAGCTTCAACAATCAAGTAGTAACAATTCTTCACTTTTGGACTTTAGTACAACAGCAAATATAAAAAATGTCTAATATAAAAACAAAGAGCACCTTAACTTAAAATAACTGGCAGCGGTCTATTTTGCCTTGCCTCCCAAAATGCCTTGATACGGCCCTGGGCATGGGACTGAGTTTTAAAGGTGATCTGAATTGTATCAAATATTTAAATATTACATGCTGATAAATAATTGCTTTATAAAAAGGTAAAAACTTGTAGTGGGATAAATCTACCTACATTTACAACAACTACAATTAATTACTTTGTTTTGTTTTCTTGGTTTTTATTTTCCTATTTTCCTGTCCTGTCTGTCTCTGATCTTTCGGCATCTCATCTCGGTTCTCCAGAAAAAACTGCTGCCTGACTTCCTACTTTCTCACCTCATGAGTTACTTTTTAAAGAATACCAAGAATGCAGTTAATCAGTAATCCAAAACTGATCTTTGAGCCTCTTTAAAGCATATAAAGTTTTGTTAGAGCTTAAAATGTCCCAGGAGCCCTGAGAAAAGGCCCACAAAAGCATGTAAAACATGCACAGTAACGTTCATTATAAAAAGGCCCGTTTTCCCCAGCTACTTCACCAGTGAGAGAGAGAGACAGAGACAGAAAGAGAGAGAGAGAGAAAGAAAGAAAGAAAGAAAGAGAATAGAAGTGTATATTAACATTTGTGACAAAAACAATCATCCAGAAATGTTGTGTGTGTGTGTGTGTGAGAGAGAGAGAGAGAGAGAGAGAGAGAGAGAGAGAGAGAGAGAGAGAGAGAGAAAGCGCGTAGGGGGGGTTTGAAGAGAGACACGTAACGTATTTTCCAGAGTATAAGTCGCACCAGCCTGGCCCGCAGCAGCTCGCCACGGGCTCCAGCAGGTGATGGCGGGGCAGAGGAGCTTATTCCTGGTCCAGAGCCAGTCCACAGCAGCGCGGTATACATAATTTGGTATATAAGCCGCTCCGGAGTATAAGTCGCAGGACCAGCCAGACTATGGAAAAAAAAGTGCGACTTATAGTCCGGAAAATACGGTACTTAAAATTTGTCTTAAGTCCGTTTTGACAGCTTTACATATTGTATATGAGAGCAGTCCTTTGTTTTCATGTCTGTTTGATCTTATTTTATCTTGTTTTTTTTATCTCATCTGTTGTTCTTTGGTGTAATGCTAACTATGTGTCTGTTGCTGCTGCCTCTTAGTCAGATCGTCGTCGTAAATGACAATGAGTTCTCAATCGACTCATCTGAATAACTTCAAGTTAAATAAATTTTTTTTTAAATAGAATTCGGACCAGGAAGTAACGCCCGAAAGTAACGCCCGATTTCAATCAAGTCTGAAACCACGTGATCAGGACCGATTTCCAATAATAAGCCACCCTAGTTTTAAATAACAAAAGATGTGCTTTACAATCAACTACAGTAAAATGCATGGTGGGTTGAAACTCAGGAAAACATGTTTTTACCATATTTGAAATTGTTCATTCTCTGAGTTTTATGACTCAGTCTTACTCTCCATCCTACCCACAATTTGTGGACCCATCTATGTTTAGTCAGCAGTAGGGTTTGTGTTGGTTCCCACTTCAAATCTCATTAATTAAAAAATAACAAATTGTAGGCAAAATTTAGACACAAACTGAGGACAATATTTTCCTGATATACAGGATTTATTTAGTTGTCTGAAAATGCAACACGCTTTAAAAAATAGCGCAAACCAGAAAACCGTGATAATTTTTTGTCACAATAACCGTGAGCTTAAATTTTCACACCGTGACAACCCTAATCATTAGTTTAGGAAAATAGAAATAAATTATTTTTTATAAACTATAAACTTGACTCTGAATTAATATGAAGTATGTGTTCCCTGAATAAGTCAAAGAAACTAAAGTCTTCTGATTAAACATTCAAAGACCAATCAAAGATTGATATTTCTTATTTATACGGAATATAAAATAGAATAGAATTAGAATAGAATTCAACTTTATTGTCATTGCACATGTACAGGTACAGGGCAACGAAATGCAGTTTGCATCCATCCAGAAGTGCTTTAGCCGTGATATAGATGTATTACAATATATATTAGCAATAATATAGATGTGTAAGTATATTACAGAAATGGATCTATTACGTATGTTATAATGTACAATATCACATCTTATTGATCATTTAATACAGATGTTGTCAATCTTTAACGCTACACCAGTGAGTCTCAGAAGCTCACAATGAAACGATCACTGTCGTTTTAATGTTGGTACTGAGCATTTGTCACATATTGAGATATTATTAAGGTCTAATGATTTTCACTAGGAGGATAATTCAGCTGGATATTAAAAACTGATTTTAGTGTCAAACAGTCACAGAATACTTAGAGTTGAATGTCAAAACACAAATGTCCACATTTGCCTTTAACTAGTTTAGAGTAGAGAGTATTCTGTTCAAACAATATCCATGTGTTAACTCAAATTGCAAGAACATTTGTTGGCCCGAACAAAGAGGAAGTAAGCTAGCATTAGCCTAACTAATACAATGAACATAATGGAATTTGAAATAAATTAACTTTTCAGATGAGAAGTTAAACCTCTGACATGTTTCAACCTACAGGTTTGTCTGAACAGCAGCTAATTACCAGAGCAGCTCACAGGATGTAGTCTGTGTCATCTGCAGGGAAATGTTTGTCTCCCGAGGGAGTTAGCAGAGCCATCAGTCATATTTCATCAGTCAAGGAGGAATTCAACAGCGAGCCTTGACCCGCTCACTGCAGCTGCAAATAAATCTACAGGGACCTCATCAGGCTGAACAGCAGGACTCGTTTTATTTAAAGCTATAATTTACCTAATAACTGAAATATTAGGATGACAAGTGCAGAAGACAACCCTGGTCTGAGTTACACAAAATCTCCTGGCCGAGTTACTTAGGTGTGTGTGTGTTTTATTTATTTAATATATACACATATATATGTATATGAGAAGCTCTGTCATCCACGTCGAGAGGAACCAGTTGAGGTGGCATCTAGTTAGGATGCCTGGTGAGGTTTTCCAGGCACGTTCAACCAGGTAAAAGACCTTAAGGAAGACCCAAGACATGTTGGAGGGACTGTTTTCAGCTGGCCAGAAAACGCCTTGGGATTCCCTCGGAGGAGCTGGCCCAAGCAGCTGGGGAGAGGGAGGGCCCCGGACAAGCGGAAAAAATGAAAGGATGGATGGAGTTCTCTGCTATATTTAGAACAGCCAATGACTGCACAGGTCTTCCCAGCCTTCCTAGACGTGTTCACTAAAGATGCATCGTCCACTTCTTGCTGCTAATTTTCCAAAGCTTTTTTCTCACACAGCGCCTACGGCTGCCTGACTAGGAAGTGTCACTGCAGCAATGCTGATGGAACAACCTCTGGTTATTTTGCCAAAATGGTGTATATTAACAAGAATCAGTGTTCTCCCTGCATTATTCTACAGAGACGAGACACGTGGACGTTTTACTGAGCTTCCTGGTTGTTTTCCACAAAAACACTGATTTGTAGGTAATAAAAAACAACTTTTTATATTCCCAAAAAAAATTTATGAAAAAGATCAAACTGTCTCTAATGGAACATTATGTTTCAAAGGTAGCTTTGAGGCTGATGGTTGCCTTCAGCCTTCTATACTGACTACATTTAGCAAAAGACTTCCAAATATAAACGGTCCAACAACATGTAAAGTGTGTGTGAGGGTTAAAAAAACTGACACTGGTTCCTGAAAATCACTCAGGGCATGTGTGAGCAACAAGTGTGTGTGTCGCTCACTGAACAGTTCACACACACTCACAGAAGAATGTGTTAGCTTGACGCGAGGCACAAAGTTGTCAGGTTGTGTTAGAAGCTGGGTCCATAGAGGGCTGATACAGACACACTCCCATTATTGACCTAGAACTGGTTTAATGGGTCTCACATTGAATAAATGACTCAAAGTGGGTGACCCTAAATGAACTCATTTCTATCTGAACTGAACAGAGATGTTCTGATTTTGGTGTTTAAAGAAATTAAACTTAATTTTTAAGATGGGTCAGTCCTCCTGCATGCTCAGATCATTCCCTTCCCTTGCTTGAAAAATTGTTCCAAAATGAAAGTTGA